CCCATATCAACACAAATAACCTCTAAAAGGTTATTTTCCGACGAACCGGTCAAGTTTGTTCTCTAAATCCGTTTTGGATATGAACCAACCTTCCAACCCCTCATTCTTTACATCTAATGTGAAGAACAGTTCCATGGGTATGAAGTATGATTACATAACCATATTGGGAGATTAAAGAAAAGGAATGGGATTGATGGAGTTATTACCTTTTTAATCCTCAAGTTTTCCTCCTTCTTTCTCTTCTATTTCTCCTCCTTCTTCTTCCTTAGCTTTGGTTCGAATAGGGATGATAACAATGGAGCTTTGCAGGGTTTCTCTCCCCTTGGAAGTGGTATGGCCGAGCTTGTGTGGGTTAGAGTGATTGAGAATGCCTTTTTGGCATTTCTCACAATGATATTTTGGCCAAGGTCCCACCCTCTTATTGATTGGTCTCCCAATCAATTTTCTCCTTGATTCTCCATGTTCTTGTGCGGCTCCTCTTGCCATATGCAAGACTAAAAACGTGGGTTGGCCCCCACTTATGTGGGAGGTCATCCCTTTGTGTCCCCAAGTGTACACTTGGTCTCGAAAGTTGTATTTTCCGGACTGTTTTAACTATATTTCCTTTTATCGGGTCAAATGAAATATGTATCATTCTTCCAATTATTATTGGCTTTTAGAATGAATATACATCCCCCAACTTTTAATTTAGCGGTCTCCATAATTTATTATGGCTTTTACCTGTTAGTACTTTGGTACCGATAAATGGGCTTTATATGCCCAAATGGTTACGCATATAACTTCTATGGCCCAACAAGGATATCCACCATTATACACGTATCATCTTGACCCAAACGAATATAATATGTGGTCCCGATAATATCGGGCGGCCCCCACTTCCGGTGTGGGCCCCACGTGAATTTTACTATTCACGTAAAATGCGTTTATTCATTTCTCAGGGTTCAATACATAATTTGATAAAGTACAAATACTTGGGGGCGGTATTACATAGATGGATCATAAAGTCATTGGCCAATGCAAAGATATATTCGTTTTGGATATCGAATATGATCGTTATGGATCATCTAGAAAGATTGAGAGACAGAGACTAAGTTATTAGAATAGACACAATATCATGTTCTAGACTTAGTTGAATGTTCATTGAATGAAAGGACCGTATCACTATGAGCTCTATATTACAGGGAGTTTGAATAGTCCTCGCAAACGTCCTTATATATTACGTTTGTCTGGTAAATTGTCTAGGGATTCTGCTAAGACCTTAATTTGATTAGTGCTTAATATATAAGGCCCTATAGGTCACACAAGTGACTATACCTTCCGATTGAATTGCTAGAAGGAATTAAATATTATTAATTGGATTAAATAATATTTAATTCGTTATACTGAAATTGGATTAAATATTAATTAGATTAAACTATATTTATCTCATGATGTTGAAGGAGAGTTCTATTTGATAGGATTAATTAAGTGTGATAAATTAGATGTGTTTTTAATTAAATAAAGTTCATATTTTCTTTTATAATTTAGAATTAAAAGAAAATAGAAAATGAAATAAATAATGATATAGGCAAGTAAAGTGACGTGCAGCCACTTTGATATTATATTATGAAAAAATGGCACGGAAATAACAATCAGGGTTTCCATTTCTCAAAATATGACCTATTTACATTTTGACAAAAATGTGTCTTTCCGTCTCCCAACAACTCGCATAGCCTTCATTCTAAAAAAAATCGCACAACCTTCTCTCTTAGACATGGCAATTCACTCTCAGCACCAGCATTGCGCTTCGCTCTCAGCACGGCCATCCATGGCACTTAGCTCTCAGTATGGCCATCCATGACTCTTCTTCCTCTCAGCCGCCGGTCGAGGCACCTTTTCTCCTTCCACGACCATGGCTCCTCTCCGCCGGTCTGACTCTAAGCCTCAACTTGCCTCTGCTGCAACAACCAGACCTTTATTCTTCTTCTTCACCTTTCTTGACCGCAAATCGCCGCCACATCGCTGTTATAGAGCAGATCTGGTCGCCAATCGAGATTCCAGGTCGAATTTCAGAGCTTTTCCTTTTCAATCTCAGATTTAAGTTCGTGCGACGGCGCAGGTCTAACATGGACGAATGAGACGATGTCAGGCTGGGTGACTCAGTTGGGGTAGGGGTAGGGAGGTGGTTGGGGTGAGGCTGGAGGCTAGGGCGTGGCTTGAGGGGTTGTGTTGTTGTGTTGGTGGTAGGACCTGGGGTTCGTCAATGTTGTTCGGGGCCGGAGATGGTGTTGTGCGGCTGGGAGGGTGTTGTGGGGCTGGGGAGGGTAGTGTTGATGGGGAAGGGGTGGGTGTTGTGGGGTTGGGGAGGGTGCTGTGGGGCTGGGGGCTGGGTTGGGGTGGGACTGGGTTGGGGTGGGACTGGTTACGCCGGAGTCACTGGTACGTTGAGGTTGACAGTGACGGAGTCATTGGGATGCGGTGGTTGGCCGGAGCGGTGGCAGCAACTGTTGTAGTGACTGTGTGGCCGGAATGGTCTCTGGCAGAAGCACGGTTGTAGTCACTATTCGGGGTAGGGCGGTAGTCATTATGGTAGGAGCAAGTCACTAGGCGGAGCGAGGTGGTCACTATGGTCGGAGCAAGTCACTGAGCAAGGTCACTATGGCCGGAGCAAGTCACTAAGCAGCGTTACTATGGCCGGAGCAAGTCACTGAGAGGGGTCACTATGGCCGGAGCAAGTCACTGAGCGGCGGTCACTATGGCCGAGCAAGGCACTGGGCGGTGGTGCGGCAAAACTGCCGGCGGCGCCGGTGGTAGCAGTGGTTGTTGTTGTGGACTGTCAGATAAACTTTTTCCTATTTTTTTTGTATTAAAATTCATTAATAGCCTTTAAGTTATACAGGGTGTTAAATGGATTGTTGTGCAACAGATTATTGACCTTGTTCCTAGGTGTGCAGCGATTTGGTGTATACCGAAAGTCATATTTTTGGACTTTTAAAACTTAACTCACTTTATTGTAAATCTCTTAATTAATAGTAATATTTGAATAAAAAGACCTATTATTATTAGTTTATTTTATTGTTTATTTAATTAATAAAATCATAAATAATTATTGGTCCTATTAGGACTAGAATTCATTAATGAGAATGACTTTCATTGTGATTGGAAAACTAGTTTAGAACTAGTAAAAATACATCCTCCTCCTTCATAATTCAGAGATCAGTTTTTAGATTTAGTATTACTAGTATATTTCCCTGCGAAGAGATTTCCTAGTCTTTCTCTTTGGGAGATCTAACCGTTCCTTTGGAAAGGAGAAATCACGTGGATACCTATGGTCAAGGATTAATACTGCTAGGCTGGAAGATCTGTAAGTTCTAACTTAGATCTGTTATTTTTGTTATATTCGTTGTTTTGTCATAATCAGGAACGATCTATTTGGCAAAATTTTTAAACTTCCCCTGTTGTACTTTCGAGGTACGTTACATCAATTTCCTAACACCTCCCCCCCCCCCCCCCCCGAACTCAAAAGCTCCAATTGGCACTTTGAACCTGATAAAAAGAATTTTACTTTTTGCAGGTCACAACCCACTCACCGCCACGTCACCCGGTAAGGTGCCAACTATGCATGTCACGTGGCGACTTAGGGGTCAAATAAGTCAAAAATTTACCCCCTCAATCCTTAAAAAAACATCAAAATTATGAAAATTAAAAATGAAAAACGAAAATAAAAAAATAGAATAAAAATAAGTCGAAAATATAAAATGTAAATATTTTATATGTTTTGGTAAATTCAAAATAAAGAAATAAAATATAAACTAAAATAAATTAATTCTTATATATAATACATAAAAAAAGTATTCAATATATTTATAATAGATAATGTAAATATTTAGTTACTATTTTTATATTTTAATTCTAATATCTGATTAATTTTTATGTTACTAAATATATAAAAAAATATTTAAAGATTGTTACATAACTTTAAATATTAATTTTTATATTAATATTTAAATATTTAAATATTAACTTTTAAAAAAATAGTTACATAAAGATTGTTTAATACTAAAATTTATTTATTTTTAATATATTTTTAAATAAATTTAAAAATATGAAAAAGGCAAATGGATAATTTAAACATAATGCTTTGTATAAATTATCACACCAAAATACTAAAATTTGTGTTGTATTACAAACCATTAGATATAATACATAAAATCAAAATTTAAATACAGTTGGTAAAAATTTAAATATATTTATAAAATATGGAAATAAAGGTAAAGAATCTTTTAGAATATATTTTTATTTTTATTTTGAATTTACTGTGTACAATAAATATTTCATATTAATATATTTTATATTTTAGACATGTATTTTATTTATAATTTTATTTATTATTTATTAGTTTATTTAATTTTTTCAAAATTTTGACATGTTTTAGGGTTGAGGGGGTAAATTGAACGATTTGGTCGGGTCAAGGACTTATTTGACCCCCTAAGTTGCCACGTCACATGCACAGTTGGCATCAAATCAGGTGACGTGGCTGTGACTGGATTGAAACCTGCAAAAAGTGAAATTTGAATCTTTTTATCGAGTTCAGAGTGCCAATTGGAGCTTTTTTGGGTTCAAGGGGCAAATTGAGCAATCCAAAAGGGTTCAAGAACCTATTTGACCCTTTAGCCTATATATTAATATATTGGTTGGTGGAAAAATAAGATATCTAAATTAGAAGAATGAGAATTTTAAGGCATATACACTAAGACATGATATATAGTAAGATGATTTTTAGCACTATTAAACAAAATATATTATAAAATTTATAGTGATATTTTGAATTTCAATCATTATATGAAATCAAACTCTATAAAATAATGTGGTCAACAAACTGAAAGTCATATGATGTCTTTAAATTTGCATGTGAACATTCATAAAATTACAAAGGAAAAAAAGTTGCATTTATTTTTAATTCTTCTTGTATATGAGAGCATATATATTTTAAAAATTGAAATGACATACAATTCAATCTACCACGGTTAAAAATCTGAAATCAATGTTGGAATTATTTATGTGAATTTTTCCTAATGTTAAATGATATAAGGAATCAAACTCAAGAAGGCTAAAGCAGGCACGAGAAGTTTGGTTGATAACAGAAAAGGGAACCTCTCTGGTCACAATCCAAAAGTTACAAGATGGGAGGCTATGGTTCACAAATGGGTGGCATACTTTTTACTCAAACATGGCCTTTATCACTTTTAAACACATGGGTAGCTGTGAGAAGGATTTCATTGATGAGCCCGAGACAAAAGATAAGGGTAAGTGACTATGTTATTGTGTATACATTTTATCTCAGTTATGGGTAAACTTCATTGCTCTGAGGCTCTGAGTCTCTAACTAACTGTCAAACAGCTGAAACGCGGAAGAAAAACGCCAGCCCATCTGTGAAGTCTGAATCTCAAGAAGTGCCTTCCCAGCTGCCTCCTCCTCCTCCTCCTACCAACACCATTTTCATATGAATGATGGTTCAAATTCCAGGTAGGGGCTTGATGGAAGTAAGTTTAATTTGGTTTCGTTGGATGGGTCAAGAGTGTAGCCATTCTTTAAATCTTTCCAATAACTGCATTAGGGGAAGAAAATCTGGTTGACTATCTGTTACAAAATCTGCAATTCTTTCCAGGAATGGCTTTGATACAGGCTTTGCACTCAGGGTGGAATTTAGACCCTTGTTTTGCTGTCTCCCTTTTCAGCAACGTAGATAGGGCTTTTCCTTCCCAGGCCAATTCCCAAGAGCCTAGCAACATGTCCGCTGCTGCCACCACCACCAACGAATTGTCCTGGTTATGCGAAGGTACTAGGAGGGTGGTTAATTAAATGGCTCACCCCAGTTTTATCATCCCCATTACCAAATTCAACATCTAATACAATTGCACCACAGGTTCCTATGTCAAGGCGTTTGAAAATGCAAACATCCCCGACTTTCAGATTGTTAGTGGCAATGAATTCTGGCCACCCTCTCGTGATGACGGAGTATCTCGTATTGCCACCACTGCGGACTTTTAGGGACACACCTTGATCACCATAAGGACCTCTAAGAATCAACCTTGAGTCCATGTCCAGCCCAGCCGCAACACAAAAATCTACAGGCAAGTGCCGAAGTCCACACATACATAAATGGCAAGGAAGCAACTAATCAAACACTATTGCAAAACAGAGATTAGAGAACTTCTAAAAACTTTACCAAATAGGGAGATCAAGAACGGAGATTGTACTCCTTCATTGTTAGTTCAAGCACCTCTACTTGTCCTTCTCGTGCCAGCGAACGTAAGCAACATATGGAAAAATAAACCAGATTGAACGTATATAGTTATTCATAACATTATTGATAAGCCCTTGTTTGATTCAAAAGAGAGAAGGGAGGAGAAGGGAAGAAAGAAGAGGAATTAATACAAGGGGCAAACCCTGCTGTAATGACAAGGTGGGCAGCAAAAATAACCAAAGCAGGATAAATATGGGTTCAGCCATGCTATATTGCTACGTATCTGGTTGTGTGATTATGTATGTGTGTGGTCAAGCCACAAAGGAAAGCTTTTGATTTTGCGGGTTGTTATTTGATCCAGTAGCATTAAAAGACTGTTTTGAGGGCTTGAACATGCCAGGTTGTTCTAGGCACCTGGTCTTGTAATATCAGTAGGTTAAGGGAGTGTTTGCAACAGCTTCTGCTTGAAAAAAAGCACTTTTTGGAAAAAGTGATTAAATAAAAGTTGATAGTGTTTGAGAAAAAAGTGATTTTGAAAAGTAAAAGTTGGTAGTGTTTGGTAAAATAAATGCTTTTTGTGTAATAGAAAAGGGAAAAGCACTTTTCACACAAAAGCCGAGAAAAGTAAAATTGGTAGTGTTTGATAAATAAGTGCTTTTTTAAGCCAAAAGCCGAGAAGTGCTTTTTTTAAGCATTTGCAAACACTCCCTAAGCCATTTGGTGAAATCTTGTGGTTTGTCTATGTTGTGGTATTATGATTTTGGGCTTTAGACATGTATTTCGGGAGGGTACGCCCTTAAGAGGGGGAAGGGGGGGGGGGGCGGGGCGCGGGGGGGTCTTAGCCTAACCTCCCTATCCTTTTGTTTTATTGTTCTCGTTCTCTAATAAATTTATAAATCTCACTTTAAAAGTAAAAACAATACTCATTTATGTTTGGTTCAACATAGGGTGAGGAACTACTATTTCAAAAAAACATGTCAAAATATTGTATTTGATTATTTGATGATATTTCTGTTGCAAGTAAAAATATATCAATCAACATGCATAATAATAATAATAATAATAATAATAATAATAATAATAATAATAATAATAATAATATAGAATAGCTTACTAGCTGAGGATTAAAAAAGGTAAAGAGAAAAAATATATTAACTCCAAAATCCCTAAATTGGAGGAGCTATATATGAGGAGTTATGAGGTTCTTTTTAGCTCCTCTATTTTCTTTCATGTTCCCCCCTGACTCCCCAACACAACACATTAACCACCCACCACTACACGTTCCTCCCCTCCTCTCTAGAACTGCTCGACCAAACAAGACCCACCAGGCCATCATTACACTTTTCTCCCCTCCCTTTAAAACAAATTAGACCAAACAGGGGCCAAGGTTTATTTTTTCAATCAAAACAATCCCCAAAATACATTCAGTTTCAGAACTATGTGTAGAAAACAACCAAATTGTGCATGTTATTAGCAATAAATAACTATCCAATTCAGAATGCATTAAGATATAAGAGAATATGAACATTAGATTCAGCTTACATTGATGACGCCTCCTCTTCTTTTTTTAGCTGCACACATGTTCACGGGTGTTTTTTACTTGGAAAGGAGTTCCTTCACCATTCACCGTACTTCCCCGATTATATTTTTTCACTTTTACAGGGGGGCTAATTTCAACATTGCCCTCTTCAAATTTCACAGACACCATGTTGCTAGGATCTTGGGAATTGGCCTGGGAAGGAAAAGCCCTATCTAAGATGCTGAAAAGCGAGACAGCAAAACAAGGCTCTAAATTCCACCCTGAGTGCAAAGCCTATATCAAAGCCATTCCTGGAAAGAATTGCAGATTTTGTAACAGATTGTCAACCACATTTTTCTTCCCTTAATGCAGCTATTGAAAAGATTTAAAGAATGGCTACACTCTTGACCCATCCAACGAAACCAAATTAAACTTACTTCCATCAAGCCCCTCCCTGGAATTTGAACAATCATTCATATGAAAATGGTGTTGGGTAGGAGGAGGAGGAGGCAGCTGGGAAGGCACTTCTTGAGCTTCAGACTTCACAGATGGGCTGGCGTTTTTCTTCCGCGTTTCAGCTGTTTGACAGTTAGTTAGAGGCTCAGAGCAATGAAGTTTACCTATAACTGAGATAAAATGTATGCACAATAACATAGTCACTTACCCTTATCTTTTGTCTCGGGCTCATCAATGAAATCCTTCTCACAGCAGGTCTCACTATAAACTATGTCTTTGAAATTAGAGCTACCCATGTGTTTAAAAGTGATAAAGTCTCCAGTAACAAGGCCATGTTTGAGGACAAAAGCATGCCACCCGTTTGTGAACCATAGCCTCCCATCTCGTAACTTTTGGATTGTGACCAGAGAGGTTCCCTTTTCTGTTATCAACAAAACTTCTCGTGCCTCCTTTTCATGTTATAATGAGACATGCTGTGAGAAGGAATTCATTGAAAGTACATTACATAATTACCAGCACAGGATACTGAGTCCTATTAACAAGTCTGCTTTTTCCTTTTTTTCCCTTTTTTGTCAAAGTTCTGTCTTATTGAGTTTGATTCCTTCTAACTTCATATCTTTTGGGAAAAAGAGTTGACCAAGTGTACAATAACAGAAAGTATGTATTTATAGTGCTCAGTTTTTCCAGAAATCCTGGTCATGGAAAGATCATCTCTGATTCTCTATTGATGATATGAAACAGTGAAAGACATATTACAACACATATCAATATAAATTAAACTTATACCTAGTATGTATACATTAATCTGTGTGTGTGAGTGTGTGCTTGATAAGCATGGAAAATTAAATTTTTTATTATGGACATTTGATGTCCTTGCATAAGCTAATTTGAGCCATACTTTAAACATTAGGGAGCCTCATTTGTTTTTTGGGAGATAAAGATGCAACTTTTTAAAAGTAAAAAATTATAAATGCAGATTTTAGGCGGATAAACATGGCAAACCTTCATTGAGAAATCATGAATTGGATTTTCGTCATCCTCGTAAAATATCTTGTATTTGAGATTCCGGGTCAGAGCTCAAGCCACTTTCAACATCTTGTGCATAGCGTAAGTGACGAAGCCCCATTTGAGTTGGAAGACCCGACCTAGAGCTTAAAAACAGGAGTGAAGAAGTTGATGCATACAATCTCTCACTGCATAGTTGTTCCTGTTAGGAGACTGAGTGAAGTCCATGTCCAATAATGAAGAAGCGTCCAAGTTGTATGTCCTTTTAGTCGCATTCGGTCTCACCAAAGTTAGGACGCCGGAGAATCCCTTCCCACCTTCATTTTTGCTCATCGATCTGAAACCCAGCGCGAGGCAGAACTATGAATTCAGATTGTATCATGTAGGGGTGGGCAAAAATACCGAAC